GCCCAACAATGTGAATGTGCCTAATGCCACTGAACTGCACACTTTAAAATGGTTATGGTGGTAAATTTAACGTGTATTTTACAACAGTGTTTTGTTTTTTTGGCTGTGCTGGGTCTTCATTGCTGCGCGTCGGCTTTCTCTAGTTGCGGCGAGCTGGGGCTACTCTTCATTGCGGTCCGCGGGCTTCTCATTGCGGTGGCTTCTTGTTGCAGAGCACGGGCTCTAGGCGTGCGGGCTCAGTAGTTGTGGCGTACGGGCTTAGTTGCTCCGTGGAGTGTGGGATCTTCCCGGACCACGGATCGATCCCGTGTCCCCTGCGTTGGCAGGCGGAATCTTAACCACTGCACCACCAGGGAAGTTCCAACACAGTTCCTCTTCAGTCCCTTGTATCTACTACATGAACTGCATGGCTGAGCGCACTCAAAATGGCTGTACGTGGGTCACCCACCGCTGTGCCCAAATCAGGCCAACCTCACAGATAAGTAATATAATATTTACCCAATCCTAAGTGTAGAGCTTGGTAAATTTTTACATAGCATACATCTGTGTAACTACCACCCCAGTCAAGACAAGGAACATTGTCACCACCCCAGGAAGTTACCTCCTGCCCTTCCCAGCCAACTGCCAGGCCTTTTCTTACATCACCAGGGTGAACATTACCTGTTCTAGAATGTTACAGAATTGGAAGACATCTTTGTGTCTGTCCCTTGCCTGGGCCACTTTTGAGTTTTCTGCCAGCTTGTAACTGGCCTGCACATCTGTACCTCCTTTCCAAAAGGGCAGCGGTCCTCTCCCCTGGCCTGGCCTCATCCTGACTCATTCTATATCCATACCTCTCAGAGAGGCAAACTGCAGCAATGAATGCCGGCCACCAGAGCTGGTAACTTACAGACTGTCTCTGGAGGCAGAGGAGCTGGCCTTAGAGGCCGTGCAGCTGGGAGCAGCTGCTGGGACCCAGTGAGAAAACCATCCAATGGGCCTGGCCTCATGGAGCTGACCTAGAAAGGGAGGAAGGCAATAAACAACGAGCGAAGTATGTAAGATGTCCATAGTGGCAAGTGCAGTGGCGAAAATAAAGCTGGGGGGTGCAGGGCCAGGGTGGGTGAGATTTTAAGTCAGATGGTGTGCAGAAAAGCCCTTACAGGGAGCCCAAGGACCTAGGCCAAGCAGATTGCTGGGTAGAGAGTCTTCCAGGCAGAGGGAACAGTCAGTGCAAAGTCCCAGAGGTTGTCTGTGCTTGTGGAAGGAGCAGCGAGGAGGAGGCCCGAGGGGCTGGAACAGGGCCAGTGAGGGAGGAGGGGAAGAAGCACCATGCAGGAAAGGGCGAAGAGGTCCTATAGGGCCCCCCGGACCCACATGGAGACAGTGGCTTTCACTCTGGGTGCCTTGAACTCCATAGGAGGATTTTGGTTTGGTTTGGTTTGGGTTTTTTTATTGGAGTATAGTTGATTTACAACTGTGTCAGTTTCAGGTGTACAGCAAAGTGAATCACACATATACATATATCCACTCTTTTTTTTTTTTTTTAGATTCTTTTCCCATATAGGCCATTACAGAGTATTGAGTAGTGTTCCCTGTGCTATACAGCAGGTTCTTTTTAGCTACGTAGGAGGGTCTTGAGCAGCAGAGAGATAGGATCCATCCTTCATCTGATCCCTTGCCCATACCCTCAAGTCTCTGCTCCTCTCCATTAGCCGCAACTAAATCTAGCTTTCCACCTGCACCTTGTACCCCGGTGAGTTTGGGGGGAGAAAAGAAACTCCCACAACCCTCGTAACATTCCTTGTTCACGCGGTGCTCTCCCACACGCAAAGATGATTTCTCACACCTTCATTCTTCTCACAGCTCTGCCATCTCCCCATGCTCTGCTCTCAGCTGATGACCTTCCTGCTTATTTCAAGAGCAAACAGTTGCTCCCATGCATATTCTTCCACCACTAAAGCCATGAGCACTTGTGCCCACATCCCTGTCTTCCCCCAGCTCCAGATGTCCCTCTCTGGCTCTCCTCAAGTCCACTTTTTCTCCTCCTCTCCCCAGGGCTCAGCCTGGCCTCTGTCTAGGGCAGGTAGTCTCAGCCAGCCCTGGGGATGTGAAAGACCATCCAAAACACTGAGCACTCATGATGGCATGCCTGCAGCCTGAAATTCTCCCCTGTGGTCCAGATCCACCCATGCAACCATCTATGTGACAGCTTCCCTTGGAGGTATTGTGTTCAATGGGTCCAAAATGAACCTACCTGGGACTTCCCTGGCGGTCCAGTGGTTAAGACTCTGTGCTTCCAATGCAGGGGGTGTGGGTTCGATCCCTGGTTGAGGAACCAAGATCTCACATGCTGCATGGCGCAGCTAAAAAAAAAAAAAAAAAAAAACCCAACCTACCTACCCAGATCCACTTTATCATTTCTCTGCACCCTTGCCAGGGCTTTGTGTGGTTTTGCACCACTGCCTGTACCTGCAACTCTTCTTCAGAGAACTACCCCTGGGCTCTGGACCACGTTGCCAATGCACCTTTGCTAGCACACTCAGAGAATCAGAAGTGCCTGGGAGCTTACCTTCCCCTGGGGCCACCTCTAATCAATGACTTACCGGTGCAGGCTGTAACTCAACCTCCAGAGCTCCCTGGCAATCAGGCGACATGTGCCCTCTGCAGGACTCTGCCTGGGCTTGCCTCCACTCAGAGCTGTGCTTCTTCCTGCTTCTTTGGCTCTTTTCCTTTTTTAAAAAAATATTTATTTATTTATTTAGCTGTGCCAGGTCTTAGTTGAGGCACGCGGGATATTTGTTGCTGCGTGCCGGATCTTTTAGTTGCGGCATGCAGGCTCTACCTAGTTCCCTAACCAGGGATCGACCCCAGGCCCACTGCATTGGGAGCGCAGAGTCTTAACCACTGGACCACCAGGGAAGTCCCAGCTCCTTTCTTTCACATTCCACGTGTAATCAATCAGGTCAGCTCCTCTTCAGATTACATCCAAAATCTGCACACGTTTTATCACCAAGACACATCAGAGCATGTGCTGGGACTAGAGCAGTAGCCTCCTCTTTGGTCTCCCTGCTTCTACTTTTGCTAACACTGGGCACTTTCCAGATCAGGCACTGTGCTAAACCCTTTACATTCATTCAGCTGTTTCATGCCTCTATACTGAGTGCCTGCTCTGTCCCAGGCACTCTGCCCAGCCCTGGGATAAAGTCTCAATACTAAAGAATAGGCAAGATCTGACATTCTGGGTGGGGAGACTGACAGTTAGCAAGTGAAAACACAAAGAAGTAATTGCAGACTGTGACAAGTGCCATGAGGAAAAGAAACGGTGACGTGGTCATCACTAAGAGAGGCCAACTTTTTTTTTTAATTAATTAATTTTTGGCTGCGCTGGTCTTCATTGCTGCACGCAGGCTTTTCTCTAGTTGCGGGGAGCAGGGGCTACTCTTCGCTGCGGCGCGCAGGCTTCTCGTTGTGGTGGCTTCTCTTGTCGCAGAGCATGGGCTCAAGGCGCGCGTGTTTCCATAGTTGTGGTTCGCGGGCTCTAGAGCGCAGGCTCAGTAGGTGTGGCGCAAGGGCTTAGTTGCTCCGCGGCATGTGGGATCCTGCCAGATCAGGGCTCGAACCCCTGCGCCCTACATTGGCAGGTGGATTCTTAACCTTCTTAACCACTGCGCCACCAGGGAAGTCCCAAGGCCACCTTTTTTTTTTTTTTCTTTTTCGGCACGCGGGCCTCTCACTGTTGTGGCCTCTGCAGTTGCGGAGCACAGGCTCCGGACGCGCAGGCTCAGCGGCCGTGGCTCACGGGCCCAGCCGCTCCACAGCATGTGGGATCTTCCCGGACCGGGGCACGAACCCGTGTCCCCCGCATCGGCAGGCGGACTCTCAACCACTGCGCCACCAGGGAAGTCCCAAGGCCAACTTTTGATGAGCAGGGAAGGCTTCCTGGAGGTAAGCGCTGAGCTGAAGGCAGGATGGGGAGCTAGCTGTAGAAAGAGCCAGGTGGAGAGCGTTTCAGGCACAATCCCTGGGGCCAGGGTGTCTGGATGAGTCAGCAAGAGGGTGTTAATGGGGCGGATGGGGCAGGGCCTTGTGGGCTGCCATGAAGACTTTGGCTTTCACTCAGCAAAAGGGAGCAACGGAGGGTTCTTGAGCAGAGGAGGGGTGTGAACTCACTCCGGTGTTAGCAGGCGCCCTTCCGCACCTGTGGGGGAAACAGTGAAGGAGTGGGGACGGATGAGTTGATAACGAAGGCTGGGAGCTGAAACTATGGGGAGAAGTGAGCAGGTTTAGGAGCTGTTTTGGAGGCGGGGTTAACAGGAGCTGGGGGGTAAGAAAGGAACAAACCTAAAAGATCGAACGAACAAGGAAACCCAAAGAACATCTGTACAGGATAGCAGGTGAGGGCTTTGGAGACCTGACCTTCTCAGCCCCTTTCCTGCTGGGGTCACCTTCAGACACGTCGCCCAACTCACCTGCCTTAATTAGTGAATGGTGACAGTACATAAGCAGATGAGAAGTACTCCAAAAATGGTAGTTATTTAAGAAAAAATTCCGGAGGCAGGAATGTAGGAGGGAGAAAGACAGTTAACACGGTGGAGCAGTTGGCCCAGAGGTGACAGTAAGCGAGCTGGCACCAAGGGGGCAGTAGTGAGCCTCCAGGTTAGCAGGGTTGGGCAGCTTGGCAGGTCTGAAGCCCTTTAGACGAGACTATGGTGCCCAGGTGCCCGGCCAGGGACAAAGCAGGCCTCGGGGCACATGTCCAGGCTGTGTGATGAGGAGGTAGGCAGGTCACTGCCACCTTCTGCAGTCTGAGGATCAGAGCCTAATAAGGGCTATTTGTTCAGGAGAAACCTGAGCCGCCCGCATGGTGGAATTCAGGCGGAGGCCAGCAGACAGAGGCTTCCTGCCCTCCCTCCTTCTCCCTGGGGAGAGTAGCCCCAGATCAGAGGATCCCAGGGAGGTTGAAGCTGGGGTTCCCCCTAACAGCCTCCCACTCCCCCCACAAACACTCCAGGCTCCGGCTCTGTACAATAGGCACTTTATTAGTGGTTGGAATGCAGTTACAAGTAGGGCTGTACGGACAGAATGGGGGAGGGGGCGGCAGGCACTGGAGACAGAAACCCCAGGCTGGGATTTCTCCAGATCCCGGATTGGGATCCTGGATTGGATTGAGCGGGGGGGGGGGGGGGGGGGGGGGGGGGTGGGGGGGGGGGGGAACCAGCACACCCGTTCCCCCCGAGTTCAACAAATTTGGCAAAAGGATCCTCAAGGGGAGGGGACTGGGCGGGGGGAGGGGTCCCCCCATTTGCCCAGGGCATCTGCCCATCTCCCCACTTCCTCTGAAATCATCCCTTGGGTGGATTCAGTTTCTTTTCTCTCTTACAAAGAGAGCTGTGTCAATAACTGGCAGAGAAGGGCGGCGGGGGGCGGCGGGATTCGGCCCAACCTGCCAGCCAGCCTGTTTCCATTAAGCCGCTATTAGCGACCTCCTCCCCCCTGTTCCACACCAGCTTGATCCCAGCCTCCCTCCCCGGACAGCCTGCCTTCTGTGCCAGGAGACACCCCTACCTGGCACACCCCCACCCCAACCCCAACCCTACCCGAGGAGGGGACATCGGAAAGCATTCCTCAGTGGCCCCGTCTCAGCCGTGATGACAGACAGAAAAAAAGCTAACAGACCCTTTAACGCATGTCCAGGTTAAAAAAACAATAATAAATGCCTGCAGCAGCCGGTAACCAGTTGTTCAGCCCCAGAGAAGGGTCCTGGCATCCTGGCCGGAGCAAACGCAAGTGAAAAGTGGACTTCCTGTGGCCACCGTTGCTGCAGACACAAACGCTGTCCTGTCATAAGAGGGGGACAGGAAGCGGAGGGCAGCCCGCAGAGGGCCCTTGCATGTCAGACATCAAGAAGCCTCGCTGGGCTTCTCATCCCGGCCAGTGGGGGCTGGAGAGACTCATCGCACAGTTTTTTTGGGGGGTGGGGGGCGGCCGTGAAAACGCGGACTGGCCCTTGGCATAGGGAGGAGATCCCACAAATCCTCCAGGTTCCCAGAAACTGGTGGTAACTGGATGATGGGGAGGGGCAGGAAGGGGGCGGCAGTGATAGGACTTCAGGTCAGCCCGATGGGCTGGGGGTTCTGACCCAGCTGCCAAGCACCCATTGTGAGACTTCCGGGGAGGGGTAGGAGGGCGGGGCCTTTAGGACTCCACCGGCTTCTTGTTGGCCTTGTTCAAAAGCTTCTTGAGGGTGAGAGACATGAAGTAAGGCCTCTCAGCGGTGCCATCGTTCCTCTCCAGGTCCTCCACTGCGGAGAGAGAGGCCCCAGAGCAGGTGGCATGAGGGGAGCCCAGGGGCAGGGGCCTTAGGGGACAGGGTGGGCGGACAGGGGCCACAGAGAAGCCTCAGAGGGTTAGGAAGCAAGACATGCTGGGACTGGAGGGGGCGGACTGGAGCAGGCTGGGAACTCGACACACACACCCACACACCCACACACATGCTCCCCACTCCCAGGCCAGGAAGCCCCACGTGCACCCCCGATCTACAGGGAGGAAACAAGGAGGCCTGCGTGGCCTCCAAGCCAGCCTCCCTCTCTACTCCTCGACTTCGCCCCGCTTCCCCTCCTCCTCCGCACTCTCCTTCAACAGGATGTCTCTCAGCTCGGGCGACATGAAGTAGGGTCGCTCCTGAGAGCCGTCATTCCTTTCCAGGTCCTCACCTGGGCTCCCCCCAGGAACCAGCAGGGGGGGAATGGGGGTGGTCAGGAAGGGAGGGAAAGAGGGAGGCAGGGAAGAACAGGGAAGCCAGCAGGCATGGAGGAGAGGAAGAGAAAGAGAAAACAAAACAAAAAAACACAGACAGATGGAGAGACCAGAGTTAGTGGCAGCCACCGATCCCACCCACCCCGCAACAAAGCCGGAAACTCCAAAGCTGAGGGCCCAGGGGCACAGTGTTCTAGTTGCAGCCTGGACCAGGGGACAACAGGATGGAGAAGCTCTGAGCGCAGGGGGAAGCTGAGAGGGGGCGCGCCAGGGCCCTGCGACGAGGGACAGCCAGGCCCTAGGGGAGGCTGCAGGCACTGGGTTGGCGTGTGTACCCCCATCGGAGGGAGACGTTCTGCCCAGAGGGGAGAAGGGAGTCAGGGCCCAGGAAGGGTGGGGATGAGGGGTTACTCACAGAAACAGAGGAATAGTGTGTCCACACACATGCCGTAGACACTGAAGAAGCCGTGGGCAATCAGGTAGGAGCCGATGATCACCGTCTAGGCAAGGAGAGACAAGCTGTTTCCACCCCAGCTCCTGCTCAGGGCAACCCCCCACTCACCACCACGTCCCTCCCCAGCTGGGGTTATGGCATTTCCCTGCTGATAAGCCCCTCCTCTGGACCTCCCCGGTGGTGCAGTGGTTAAGAATCTGCCTGTCGATGCAGCGGACACGGGTTCGATCCCTGGTCCGGGAAGATCCCACATGCCGCGGAGCAACTGAGCCCGCGCACCACAACTACTGAGCCCGCGTGCCACAACTACTGAAGCCTGCGCGCCCTAGAGCCCGTGCTCCGCAACGAGAAGCCACCGCAATTAGAAGCCCGCGCACCACAACGAAGAGTAGCCCCCACTTGCCGCAACTAGAGAAAGCCTGCGCGCAGCAACAAAGACCCAGTGCAGCCAAAAAAAAAAAAAAAAAAAGCCCCTCCTCTTAGGCCTTCCTCTGGCTGCAATTTTATGCATCTTCAGGGCAAGACAGGTTTAATGCTCACAACCCTACTAGACTGTGTCTATCCCGTTTATAACTATATCCCCAGTTGGGACTTCCCTGGTAGTATAGTGGTTAAGACTCTGCACTTCCACTGCAGGGGATGTGGGTTCGATCCCTGGTCATGGAACTAAGATCCCGCATGCCACGAGATGTGGCCAAAAATATAAATAATTTAAATTTTTTTTGTTAATTTAAAAATAACTATATCCCCAGCAATCTGGAAACTCACGGGGCCTTGGTAGGTACCTGATAAGCATTTATTGACTGAAGTGAGCAGACTTCAGAGAGATGACATAACTTGCCCAGAGTCACTCAGAACTAGCAAATAAAGAACTAAGATAAAAATCGAGGTCACATATATACACTAATGTGTATAAAATAGATAACTAATAAGAACCTGCTGTATAAAAAAATAAATAAAATTCAAAAAAAAAAAATCGAGGTCACTGGGCTCCAAGGCCTGCACTCAGATACTGTACTGCTCTTAGGGTGATGACCTAATCCCTCCATGGCCCCATCACCTCCCTGCCCTTATCTCCACCTCCTTGCCACTTCACTACCTCCACACCAGCCACACTGATTTGCTCACTGTTCCTGGCATAGTCCTGCCTCAGGGCTTCCGTACTTGTTCCCTCTGCCTGGATGTTGCCTGCATCTTCTTCAGATCTTAGGTGTGACATCACTTCCACGGGGAAGCCCCCTGGACTCCCACACCTGCCCACATCCTCCACCACAAGCTCTAACAATTGGTTCCCTGTAATTCTGCCCTGTGGCACACACAAGTTTGCAAGCATGCATCCAATGCGGATCATCATTGGTTAATGTCGATTTACTCCTAAACTGTAAGGCCTTTTTCTTTTTTTTTGGCTGCACGGCATGTGGGATCTTAGTTCCCCGACCAGGGATCGAACCCGTGCCCCCTGCAGTGGAAAAGCGGAGTCCTAACTGCTGGACCGCCAGGGAAGTCCCAAACTGTAAGGCCTTTACAGGTCATGCCTGGAACGTGGTCGGTACTTAATGTTTGTGTCCTGAATTAACAACTCCCTACCTCTGAGCCCCATCCACATCTGTCTAGTCAAAGGAAGCTAGGCAAGTCCCAACATCTTCTCCCCAACCCCTGTCTGTCCCCAAAAGTTCATACCAGTATAGGAACCCAGTAATAATTGAGGGGTGGTGCTGTGTCCTGCACGATCCTTATTCGGTGGGTGAAGAAGAAGAAAGCCAGGATCCCTGGAGAGGGGGAGGAAACCGGGATGGTTGAGGGTTCTGGATACAGGAAATAGCCCCCCTCAAGAAGACCCCAGAGAAGAAGACAGTTATCAGAGAAGATGTGGGGGCCTGACAGCAGCTCACAAGCGGCCCCCAACAGGCTCCCGCAGCTGGACAGCACTCACCCACACTACCCACGATCAGAAGTTTGCCCAACAGGAAGAGGAAGTCGGTAACTTTGTCCAGGACAGCCACCCTGCCGGGGACAGTAGGAAACAGGCGTGAGTGCTGGCTCAGGGCCTGGGGGAGGAGGGAGGTGGCCAGAGGACAGTGTTTTCCCAGACCTGATGATGTTTCTCATGAGGAGGAAGAAGGCGTTTCTGGCTGAGGTGCAGAAGTTGGTGCCGTAGATGGCAATCTGGAGGGAGGTGGGAGGGACGGATCAGGCCCAGTGGGTGGGGAATGAGGGCTCCTCCACCCAGCAGGAGCTGGTGGGTTAGTGCCTGGTCCCAGGCTTACTCACCATGATGTAGGCATTCCTGTTGAGGAATCTAATGAATTTCTCCAGGCACCAGAAGCAGCATTTGAGACAGGTCATGAGGAACTTTGCAAACTTGTTCTCCGCAGCTGGTAGATGAGGGAGAGATGCAGAGGTGGGTGAGAGGAGACCCCACTCGGCCTGGTAGGAGCCCCCTATCTCCTTGTTACACACACTTGCCATAGTCCAGGACCCTTAGAGCCCACCTTCTCAAAGAGATGGGGAGAGGAAACTTGATCCAGGACCTCAGGCCCAGCCTCCAAGACAAGCAGCAGCGACAACCCACACTGCTATCCTGGCCCCGCCTCCAGGGCAGAAGCCAATCCTTGATGCCTCCTTGGCTCCACCCCAAAGTACAACCAATCCCAGCCCAACCCTCTCGTCAGGAACCAGTGGTGGCCCAGTCCTCTTGTTCCCACCCCCTCAGCAGTAAGAACACCCAGTGGGCTCTTTCAGCCACCCCTCCATCACAGGAACCAATCACTCAAGACCCTCAGCCCCACCCTTTCCCCACCATAGGCAGAAACCAATCTCTGTCCTACCACCTTAGCCCCACCCCCCACAAGAACCAATCCTAAGCTGCCCCTCAGCCCCCCCCCCCACCTCGGGAGTTACTGCCAACCATCTGTGGGCCATACCTTTCAGGCGCTGATCCAAGTACTCGAGTATCACTCGGATGATCTGCACGATGGCCAGAATGAGGGAGCCGAAGGCCAGAGAGCCTGTGTGATACCTTTGGGCCGAGGGAGTGGTCAGTGGTCCAGCCAGGCCACTCCCACTCCAATTCACCCCTACCCCCAGCCCACCTTGGGCCCCACCTGAGCGCCCGGCCGAAGGCAGAGAAGAGTGGGAAGGCAGGCAGGTCATCCGGCTTGTTCAGGGCCCAGTAGTAGGAGGCGAAGGCGCCAGCTAGCGTGACCTGGCCCAGCGCCAGCACGAAGTTGGCCAGCCAGAAGAACATGAAAGCATTGAAGATCTGCAGGCCCAGCAGGGCCCGGTGGTAAGTCGACTCACCACCGTAGAAGGCGAACTGGCAGTGGGCTCCAGGGCACAGGCGGGATTCATTGGAGGAGGGGAAGGTCTGTGGGAGGGACGCAGAGCCTGGTCACATCATAGGGGCTAGGGGTTCAGAGTGGGCTCTGGGCATCAGGTCAGACCTGTCAGGTAGACCACGAGATGGGACAGGAGTCATGGGGAACAGAGTTAAGTCAAGGAATTGGGGGGTTAGGATAGGGGCTCTCAAAAGGCCTTCTAGAAACAAGATTAGGGATCATCATCCCAATGGGTGTCAGAGAGGCGGGATAAGCTATCTTGGGGATCAATGGAGTGGCCATGTGGACAGATCACAAGTGGCAGAGATCAGTATGAGGACCATGGAAGGCAGGTTAGGGGCTTGTGAAAGGCAAGACGGGGCTCTAAAGGAAGAACTGACCACCACTGGGTTAAGAGAGGGGTGTCGGGGCAGGAAATGAAGTCAAGGGGTGGGGGAAGGTGGGTAGATCAGCACTTAGTGGGTGGGGGGGAGTAGGTGCCAGGCTGGATCTCTTCCTCTCCCTGCCACCCACATCTGGCACAGGACATACGGCAGGCACCAAATGTTTGCTGAATGGTCCCCAAGTGGGGATGAGAGGCCTTCAGATCAACTGTGGGCTGCTAGGGAAAGAGCCACCCCGCCACTTCCGGACACCCACCTCAGGGTTGCAGGTTTTCCCAGCAACTGAGCAAGCGGTGTCATTGAAGATCTTATAGACAGCTTCGTTGGAAGTGGACAGAAAGCTAGAGGCTCATTAAGGAACCCAACGTCTGGGATTAAGGACCACAGGGGCATGTGGAAAAGAATCCATTCCCACACCAGGTTCAGGCTTTGCCCCCAAGATGTAGGTCACCTCCAGGCAAGTGTGGCACTTAGCCCCCAGCCCCGGGGTCAGAGATCAGGGTCTGACGGTGGATACATAGCGGTGCTAGCCCAGTAGGCGATGCAAAGGCACAGCAGGAAGAAGGTGACCAGTGGGTACAGCAAGGAGCACATCACGTATCCCACAGCCCTGGGAGGAGTAGAAACACAGACATCAAGGCCCGAGCAGGCCTGGGACCACCCCAGCCTGACCCCCTGGCACCCCGGCACCCACCTGCTGGCTTCTTTAATGAGTGCAATGGCGATGAGAATTCTCTTCCGTAGAAAGACGAGCAGTAAGATGATAATAACCTCGAGGATGCTCAGAATGATCACTGCGTGGGGGGGGGGGGGCAGAGAGTGATCAAGTCTGCCACCTGCCTGGGCTCCCCACTCCCACCCAGGCCTCACTGAATGGGGAGCTGGGACTCACTGAAGGCCATCCAGGTCTGCCGCAAGTGCAGGTACACGCGGAGGTCCGTCTGGAAGCCAAGGTCCACCAGGGAGATGTCAGAGCCGGCCTCGCCACGCAGTCGAGCGTACTCCATGTAGCAATGAAATATTCCTGCATGGGGAACCACCGTGCTACGACTGACCTCAGCCCTCCGACGGCTCCCGCAACATTACAAAGCATGTACAGCCACACCCATGTAACAGAAACAAAAACCAAGGCTGAGAGGGGCTGCCATCGCTTGCTGCTCCCTCAGGGCCTTTACCTGCTGTTCCTGCTGCCTGGTTCAGTCTCTCCCCAACTGGATCCTCACATCCTCTAGTCCCTGCTCAAATGTCACCTTCTCATGAGACCTTCTGGGATCTCTTCCCCCATTTAGAATCATACCCTCTTACATTCCAATTTCTTAAGGGATCTCTTCCCCCATTTAGAATCATACCCTCTTACATTCCAATTTCTTATCCCCCTTCACAGCTTTGACATCCCAGAGGTTTTCTGGTTTGTTTCTTGCCCATCTTGCCCATACCCTCTGGAATATAAGCTCCACCAAAAGTAAGGATTTGTCCTGTTTTATTCACTGCTGTAAGCCCAGGACCTAGAAGACTGCCCAGAACATAGCAGCCACTCAGTACATGATGGATGAATGAATGAGTGAATAGAAGTCAGGATGCTGTGTGGCCTGAAGCTTTCCTGACCCCTCTGCCATCCTGGAACAATGATTCATGGGTGGGGAGGGAGGACACGGGTGCTAACGTCCAGTGGGGTAGCATTAGGGATTTTCACCATTCCCCTTAGCTCTGGTAGAAGAAAGTTATAAAGTACAGGTAAAGTACAAAAAGCTAGGCACCAAAACGGCCAGCACCCAGCTAGAAACGACTATTAACGAATATTTTGGGAATTCCCTGGCAGTCCACTGGTTAGGACTCCACACTTCCACTGCAGGAGGCATGGGTTCAATCCCTGGTCGGGGAACTAAGATCCCACGTGCTGTGCGGCATGGCCAAAAAAAAAAAAAAAAAATTTTTTTTTTCTAAATGAATATTTTAACATCTTTGTCTCCAGTGTAGGTTGCACATCCAGCATCTTTCCTCTTGGAAAGTTTAAATGAATAAACAGAACGTGAAGCATTGGCTTCTGAGCACTGCCTCTGAGTTCCACAGGCCTCAGGCCCTCCCGCATCTCATCCGCAGACTGTCTTCTTCTCATTAAGTCTCCTAACTAGTAAATACTAATTATCCCCAATTTATAGAGAAGGAAATTGAGGCATGGGGAGGTGGAGTCACTTGCCCAAGGTCACAGAGCAAGGAATTGGCAGAGCCAGCATTTGAACCCTAGGCTTTCTGGTGCCAGAGGATGTGGCCCTAGCCACTGTGCAAAACGGTATACTTTAGAATGCATTTGCTGTCGATGAAATACAGATCCAGTCCTGCTTGGGAAGATTATGATGTAATGGTTGTTTCCAAGTACCTGCTCTCATAAACAATGTTGAGATGAATATCTTCACGAATATTCCAAATAAAAGATGGAGGATGTCGGATGGCTCAGGAGAAGTTTTGTTTTGTTTTTTTTCGGCTGTGCCACACGGCTTGGAGGATCTTAGTTCTCCAACCAGGGGTCAAACCCAGGCCCCATCAGTGGAAGCGCCAAGTCCTAACCACTGGACCGCCAGGGACAGAAGATCCTTGATAGGCCGATGACAGCTCAAAGGGCATAGGCATTTTGCCGACTGTGGGGAGGGGAGGACACAGGGAGGGAGAGACATACCGTAGCCTAGGACCAAAATCACCATGACAATCATCACCCAGACCATAATGCCAGCCAAGAAGCGGAGCAGGACGATGAACAGGAGGCTCAATACCATGGCGATGACCAGGCCTCTGGGGGATAAAATGGGTGCATGAGCGGACCCCACCCGCTCACCAGTCTCAGACAGGGCAGCCCAATGAGGGCTACCTTCCCTCTCAACTTACATGATAATCCAGTACCAGGAGACTGTATAATCTTCGAATATCCGCATGGCCAGCTGCCGGGCCTCCAGGACTCCATTGGCCTTCCTGGGGGAAGGCAGACAAGGCTTTAGGTCGGACCCCGCTCCCTGATTGGGCCAGCCCCAGGGGATACCCTGTCCCACCCAGGAAAATGTGATGTCAGCATGGTGGGTCACAGTCCTCACTTGGCGCCTTCCACCAGCTCTGTGATGTTTTTCCGAAAGCCATGCCCATCCTCATAGGTTGTCTCGTTGCCCACCATGAGGACCCCCTTGTGGCTGTGGATGTCTGGGAAGCACCGCTGGGCCACTGCACAGAGCAGGGGATAGGACCAGTCAGGCTGAGCCCCTGAAACCTCCCCATGCCCCTCCCAAGCTCATGGGACCCCAGACTCACGGGGTTTGCTGGGGGTGAGGACGGCGGGGCAGTCGCCATCTCGGAGGACCTCAGCCACACCCTGCCAAGAGACAGGGAGGGGGTCAATCCTGTGGGCCAGCACTCTCGACCTGCCCCTGCCTGGGCAGTTACCTGCTTACCTTGTTGTTCTGGAAGCCAGGCACACAGAACTGCTTGTAGTACTCAAAGTCCTGGGATCTGTGAGCGTTCAGGTAGGTGAGGTAACGGTCAGGACATTTCTCCACGCAGATCTTGGGGGGGCAGGAGGCAGGGTTTGAGTGGGATCTGGACAGATACCTGATCGCCTCTCAAGACAGAGGTCCCGCCCCCTTCCCCCTATTCACCAGGGAGAGAGAAAGGGCTGGGAGAGAAGCTGCCGCTACAGAGGGAAAAAGGACCTGATGGTGGAAGTGGGGGAAAGGAAAGAGGTGGGGAGGGGACAAGTTACCTGGGGGGTGGGACACTGGAATTCCAGCAGGACCAGGGGGCTGGCACAGTTCACAATGTTGAAATAAAACAGGAAGGGTTTGTTCCTGGGGTTGGGGAAGGGAGATGGAAACTGTCAAGACTTCTCAATCAGCCTATATAGACTATCTTAACGAAAACAACAACAGTAATAACCACAGCAGCAGCAACTCCATGCCAGGTGCTCTTCTAAGCACTGGACATGTGCTGGCTCATCTAACCGTCACAACAGCCCCATGAGAGTGGGACTGTCATGATCCCCATTTCAGAGATAAGGAAAATGAGACCCAGAGAGGTTGAGACACTTGCCGTAGGTCACACAGCCAGGGAATGGCACAGCTTGGATTGAACTTGCTCTTTTACCTCACCTATTCATCACCTGCGGACATCAGATCTGGGACTGTCTCCTGTCTGTCTCTCCCCTAAAATGTGGGCCACCAGAGGACAAGACTTTGAATGTCTCATTTAGTGCTGTGTCCCCAAGGCCTAGAACAGAGGCTGGGGATGGCGGGAGTTTTATAAATACTTGTTGACTGGACTAGTGGATGGATGGAGGCGAGGAAAGCCTAGAACCTTCTCCCCAGTGCTCATGAAGCTCTCCCGCACACTCCTCCCCAGACCCAGCAGGCCCCAAGGAGCCAGACTCACTCATTTTTCGTGCCCTTCTGCCCGCAGAACTCTCCTCGGCTATCAGTGGGGTAGATCACTTTTCGAGGGTCCCCGTGAGTCCAAGCTGTGGAGGGATCCAGAGATGCCGAGGGGCTGCCACTCCTTAGCACCAGCCCCACTTCTGCCCCAGAGGCGGTGGCTTGCCCTTCCACCCTGGAACCCCAATCCCATCCCCTCCTTTGCTCACCTATGATGCCTACAGCCACATAGCCCACAATGGCCAGGAGGAGGAACACACAGCAAATGACGTCTGTGCAGCCTCTGGGGAGCAAGAGACCGTGTCAGTGGTGGGAGTACTGGTGCCCTGGATATCATGGACCCATCCTGCCTTGTACACATATATAGGTATGTGTTATTTGGACACATGTTCCTGAGCGGTACCAATGCTGTGCCAAAGGGCACGTGCATTTTAAATATTAATACCTTTCATTGCAGCACTATTTACAAAAGCCAAGATATGGAAGCAACCTAAGTGCCATCCATAGATCAATGGGTAAAGATGGGGTGTGTATGCATACAATAGAATATTACTCAGCCCCCCATAAAGGATGAAATCTTGCCATTTGCGGCAGCAGGGAATAGATCTGGAGGATATTCTGCTACGTGAAATAAGTCAGACAGAGAAACAAATAACGTATGCTTTCACTTATATGTGGAATCTAAAAAAATGAAACAAATGAACCAACAAACAGAAACAGACTCATAGATGCAGAGAACAAACTGGCAGTTGTCAGACTAGAGGTGGGTGGGGGATGGACGAAACAGGTAGAGGGGATTAAGAGGTACAAATTTCCAACTACAAAATAAATAAGTCATAGGGATGTAATATACACATAGGGGATACAGTCAGTAATACTGTAACAACTTTGGGGACTTCCCTTGTGGTGCAGTGGATAAGACTCCATGCTCCCAATACAGGGGCCCCGGGTTCGATCCCTGGTCAGGAAACTAGATCTCACATGCATGCCACAACTAAGAGTTTGCATGCCACAACTAAGGAACCCTGGAGCCACAACTAAGGAGCCCACATGCTGCAACTAAGGAGCCGACGAGCTGCAACTAAGGAGCCCACCTGCCATAACTAAGACCTAGCACAACCAAATAAATAAATAAATATTTTAAAAAAATATATTGTAACAACTTTGTATGGTGATGGGTGGTAACTGGTCTGATTGCAGTGATCATTTCATGATGTATAAAAATACCAAATTACTATGTTGCACACCTGAAACTAATATAACATTGTATATTAATTATAACTCAATAAAAAAAACTAAAAAATAAATTTTAATACCTCATGCTACACTGTCCTCAAAGCAGGTTGCAGCAATGTTCAGCTCTCTTTTGATTAAGTGCCCATTTCCCTACATCCTTACCAGCATAGCATATTAATGTTTTTTTTTATATTAATGTTTTTTAAAAGTGAAGCTATTTTGTGGTGATCAGTTTGTAATTTATAGAAATACTGAATCACTATGCTGTGCACCAGGAACTAACATAGTGATGTAGGTCAATTATACTTCAAAAACTAACTGGGAAGAGATATGGGAATATATGTATAACTGATTCACTTTGTTATAAAGCAGAAACTAACACACCATTGTAAAGCAATTATACTCCAATAAAGATGTAAAAAAAAAAAATAACTAACTCATAGAAAAAGATATCAGATTTGTGGCTACCAGAGGTGGCAGTTGAGGAGTGGAAGGGGGCATTGGATGAAGGTATTCAAAAGGTACAAACTTCCAATTATAAGGTAAATAAGTGATGTAATGTACACACGGTAAATATAATGTTGTATGATATATGTGAAAGTTGTTAAGAGAGGAAATTTTAAGAGTTCTCATCACAAGGAAAAGTTATTTTTTTCTTCTTCTTTTCTTTCATATCTATATGAGATCATGGATGTTCACTAAACTTTTTGTGGTAATCATTTCATGATATATGTAAATCAAATCATTAGGCTGGGGCTTCCCTGGTGGCGCAGTGGTTGAGAATCTGCCTGCCAATGCAGGGACACAGGTTCAAGCCCCGGTCTGGGAAGATCCCACATGCTGCTGAGCAAGTAAGCCCATGCGCCACGACTACTGAGCCTGTGCTCTAGAGCCCGCGAGCCACAACTACTGAGCCCACATGCCACAACTACTGAAGCCTGTGCGCCTAGAGCCCGTGCTCCACAAGAGAAGCCCTCGCAATGAGAAGCCCGCGTGCCACAACGAAGAGTAGCCCCCACTCCGCAACCAAGAGTAGTCCCCGCTCGAGGGAACTAGAGAAAGTCCGCTCACAGCAACACAGACCCAACGCAGCCAAAAATTTTTTAAAAATTTTTTAAATTAAAAAATCATTATGCTGTACACCTTAAACTTATTCAGTACTGTATATCAATTATATCTCAATAAAACTGGAAGAAAAAACGAAAACAAAAACCCATAAGTTTCACCAACCATGTTAGCACTTACTAAAAAGAAAAAATTAAACTATTATCATAAGATTAAATATGAACATGATAAAATTTAAACCACACAGGAATGTACATAACCAAGAACTGTCTCCCACATAACCCTCCTCTCCAGGAGTAACCTGTGTTAATGATTTCTAGTGAGTTCTTTATTCACTGGTACAAATGTTTTCCAAAAAAACTTTTTTTGGTTAACTCAAGTATGATTATGATACACCCACTATTTGTGTCTTGTTTTTTTCACTAATATATTGAGAGGGATCCAAGTGACTATTTATAAAGGCTCTTGTACATTTTAACAGCTGTGTAATAAAATAACCTAAGGATGCACTGTAATGTATCTAACTAGTTCCAAGAGATGCAACTCAGATTGTTGGTTTTTGCCATTTTCAAAAAGGCAGCATTATCATACAATTTTGCCCATCTATGCACGGTGTACTGGGAGAATTTTTTTCATAGAATTTTAATCTCTGGAACAAACAACTGTACATCAAAAAAAAAGAAAAAGTCGTATTTCCAAATTCCCTTCAAAAAAGACTGTATCAATTAGTTTCAGAGCAGAATATGTGTCAATCTTTTTTTTAAAATTGAGGTAACATTGATTTATAACATTATGTAAGTTTCATGTGTACAACATTATATTTCTACTTCTGTATACCCTAGTGTGTCAATCTTTTTAGCCTCTGCCAATCTGTGATGGGGAAATTCTGTTTGGTTACTGTTTTAAATTACATTCCTTTACTTTCCAGTGAGTTTGAGCATTTCTCCATAACTCCACTGTTAACAGTATTTCTTGTTCTATAAATGATCTGTTCCAGTCTTTTGCCTGAACTTTAAAAATTCATTTGTAAAGACTTTGTATATTAAGGAAATTCCTTTATCGTTCTTTTATCATTCTTTTAACTTCTTTTATCGTTAAGTTGCAAATATTTATCACCAGGTTGTTGGAGTACAAATGTGGAGGTGTGTAAAGAAACGGGTGGAGGCAGTGTTAGTAGAGACCCCTCCCCTCTCAGGAACCCAGACGGCTTACCTGTTGTAAATGGGTCCTTTGAAGGTGGGGTCATACTTCTGTGGTGTTCCTGAAATTCAGCAAGATTGAGCTGAGTGATCCAAGATGAGGGTGGCAGACCACCCTTCCCCAGATGTTCCTAGGGGTGTCTTGGCCACGGAGAAGTAAGATTCAGAGATCCTGAGGGTTTTCTGTGAACAGCCCGATTTATCACCTGACGACCACTCACTGGGAGGGGGCTGGAAAAAAGGCTACCAGCGAGCCCGGTGGAGAGGGGAGAGTCCAAGGTGGGATCTGGAGATGGTTCTCACAGGAGTCCTGGGGAGGCTGCGAGGACAGACCCTTCGGATGAGGGAGTTTGGAGGGACCTCTGGGCGGGCGTTGGGGTGAAGGGTGCTGCCAGGTGACGATGGGGGGTTGGGGGGGTACAGGCAGAGATCTGCAATTCCGCTCCTCCCTCGTCCCCCCATCCCGGGTCCTCCCGCTGCCCCCTCCCCCTCCAAGTTGCCAGGCCCGGGCGCGGGAGCGGGGCACTGCCTACCGTGCTTCCCGTAGTAATGCTGCCGCTCGCCCCCCATCCCTGCGGGCGCCCTGCCCCGACGACCCACTGACGGCTCGCGCTCCCTCTCTGCCCTCGGGTCCAGACGCGCAGGAGTCCCGAGGGAGGGACCGAGGGACCGACGGACGGCGGCCCCTCCCAGCAGAGCCAGGCGGGGCGGCCCAAACCGGTCAGACCGGCCCTAGCAGAGCTGCTGCCTCGGACGGACTGGACCACGGAACGGAGGGAGGGAGGAGAGGACGGGGCGGGGCGGCAGCTGCTCCAGTCACTCACCCGCAGCCCGATTTAGCCCTCTCCGCAGCCCCCCCCCGCCGCCCAGCCCCCACCCGGGGAACTCTGTGGCTTCACTCTGTGGCTTCACCCTGCGGCCTGGGCTAGCCCCCTGCCCCCAACCAGGCGACACCGCCCTAGAACATCTCTCAACCCTGGAAAGCGTCTAATTACTGTCCCATTCTCCAGGTATGGAAACTGAGGCATAGGGAGGTCAGTGTCTAGCCAGGCACAGCAAAACGGGCAGCTGGCTTAACCCGAACAACCAATGACAGAGTATTTGGGCTGAAAACTCTCCAACCTGTGGATGCATTTTTTTAAAAAGTAAATGCCAACAGTTAAATATTGGGACAGTCCATATAAAAATCCACATCCCTGTCTCTGGAAAACTGCCAAATTAGGACTGACAGCCCCCAGTGCCACATCCCTTTCTGGCATTGCCCCCAGCTGGTCCCTTTGTGGCCCCCAAGGCTACACACCTCAGCTCACCACCCTTGCACACTTTCACTGTAGATAATCCTGAAGCCACTGTTTTGAAGAACACGTATTTATTGAGCGCCTATTGGGTACAGTGGCATGTGAGAGACCCAGTCTTGTGGGTCTGCTCTTGTGGAGCTGATATCCTACCAGGTGGCCCTGGATTTGAATGTTCCTGCCCCATCTGAGCCTGAGGATACTCAGGCCAGGGCCTTACCTTCTCTGAGCCTCGGCTTCCTCAACTGTGAAATGGGTCTAAAGCATAAAACCAAAACCAGCCAAAGACCAGGCATGGGATACCAAGAAGTATACAGTTGGCATGGATGCAGTATATTGTCAGTGTAGAAATACTCAGTTGATATGGATGTATACAGTAGGTATGGGGGTACTGCCAGCATGGGGTATATGGCCCACATGGAGGTATACAATTCGGGGTGTTTAATCAGTGTGGGGTGTACAGTAGGGGTAGCGGTATACAGCTGGTGTGAGGGTACACAGCATAGCATTCCCAGTCAGCTGGCTACACCCCCTACACCAACCATCCACCCCTGCGCCAGCTGTATACTCTCTTGATCACGTGCCTGTTCAAACTGCTATCTCCCAACAGCCCTTGGGGCCAGTTGTATACTTCATAGTACAACCAGCTCTACAGGTGACATGGCATGATACAGTCGGCGTCAGGGTGTAGTCAGCAGGAAGAGATATCCAGTGTGAAGCACACAGCCAGCATGGGGTTATAAGAGAACAGTTGGTGCTCAATACTCGTACCTGCTGCCTCAGAGTCAGGCACCCCCTGATGGGACTCTGGTCACCAACTCAGCTTGTGCCTAGAGAAATGTCACACCACCCCCACAGTGGCGTCTAGCTGTGGAGGCCCCACCTACCCCCTGGCCCACAGGCTTCAGCAAACAGGCGAGGCCCAAGGCTCCAAGCCATGCCCTTGGGTGACCAGGCCTCCCAAAGTAGCCCTGTAGTTGTCACAGTCCCTGCCAGCCCAAAGGCTGGCTGGTCCCACCCCGCCCAGTGCAAGCAGTGCCCAGGCCACAGCCTCTCTCTTCCCAGATACGCTAGGTCCCCTGGGAACACTCTTGCAAACTCCGGCCTTCAGCCACCAGCTCCGCCCTGATGATGCTCAAATATGGGTCCCTGGGGAGGGCCTCACTCCTGAGCAGCTCGACCCTGTGACACCTGCCCCCCAGCACCCTACATGGGGGTCTCATGGGCACCTCCCACTCAGCATGACCACATCGAGCCCCCATTGTCCCCCCAAGCTGCTCTGTCCTCCTGAGTGCTTAGGCTGGAAACCTGGGACACGTCTCTCTTTGCTTCACATCAGCTTTGCCTTCAGAATCTATTCAGGATCCAACCACTCTCACCCCATTTGGCTCCCACCCTTGTCACACGGCTGTCGTCTCCTGCCTGGACAGTGCAGGTGCCTCCACCCTGGTGTCTCAGCTCCCACACTTGTCCCCCACTGTCCACTCCCCCACAGGGACCAGAGGAGCCTGTGGACACCTGAGTCAGGGCACTCCCTCCTCTGCCCCGAACACTCTATGGCTCCCATAAGCCCAAATCCTCACCATTCCCACAAGGCCCTGCCTGCTCTACCCTGTCCCCTCCTCCCTGCCTTCACGCCTCCCACTCTCCCCTTTCCTTGCTCTGTTCCAGCCTCACTGGCACCCTGGTTATACTGTAGGTTATACTGGTTACACTGTATACTGTTTTTTAAACTTTTTCACATTTATTAAAGGTTTTGACCATGAGGGCTTCATAAAATGTCAAGAAATTCTATTTGCCATCTAACCATCTACTTCTAAATAGGGGACAAACACTAGTATAGTGACTGTTTTAACGTGGAAAACTTTTTAAATTTTTTGAGAAAAGAATGATGCATATATATATTTATTTCAACCCCCAAAATATTCCAGCAAAAAAATCGGGGGAGTTTGGGCTGGGTCTCCTTCAATGGGCATCTGTTGCCCAGGAGGATGGTGGACTTGCCCTCACCCAGGCCACCACCGGCCCATGTCCCCCCTGATTAGACTATAAACTCACCAGACACAGTCTCACCTCAGGACCTTTGCTCTGGCTGTTCCCTCTCCCTGGAAAGCTCTTCCCTGAGACAGCCATTTGGCTCCACCTCCTGCAAGCTCAAACATCACCTCCTCAGAGAGGCTTTCTCTGACCATCCTGTCTAAAACAGCACCCTTGAGGGGAAGAGGTTAAGAATCCTCCTGCCAATGAAGGGACACGGGCTCGAGCCCTGGTCTGGGAAGATCCCACATGCTGTGGAGCAACTAAGCCCGTGCGCTACAACTACTGAGCCTGTGCTCTAGAGCCCACGTGCCACATCTACTGAGCCCGCGAGCTACAACTACTGAGCCCGCAAGCCTGGAGCCCGTGCTCGGCAACGAGAGAAGCCACCACAATAAGAAGCCCGCGCACCACAACAAAGAGTAGCCCCCGCTCGCCGCAACTAGAGAAAGCCTGCGCACAGCAGCGAAGACCCAGTGCAGGCAAAAATAAAAATAAATAAAATAAATAATTTAAAAAAATAAAATAAAACAGCACCCTTTCCCCCTTCTCTCCTGTTACCCTATTTTATTTTGTTTCTGACTCATTTACACATTGACTATTGTCTGCCCCCATGTCTGTTTGCTGCACAAGGGCAGGGATTTATGTCTGTTTTGTTCATAACTTTGCCCCCAGCGCCCAGCATAGCATCTGGCACAAGACAGGCACTCAGTCAGAGTTTGTTAAATGAATAACCATGATATATAATCCATGTATAATACAGCTAAAACTGAAAATAAAAATGCAGCTTTGAGTTTTCCAGGTGCACGTATTTAAAAAATTAATTTTCGAAGTTTATACATATAAGAATTGAATACATGATAAATGTGGAATTTCCAGTTGGCAGGGAAAGGATAAATCAGTCAGTAGCCTTCACTGTTCATTTGGAAGAAGATAAAGTTAACTCCACTCCCACCACATAGCAAAACAAATTCCACGTGGATTAATCATGCAAATATATAAAACTCAAAACTATGACAAGTAGGATGGGAAAACACAAGAGCATACTTCTACCATCTGATAGCAGGTGAGACAGGTAAGGTGGGTGGGGGAAGAGCGAAAGGAGTGCCGGAAGTTTCTTACGTCGGCCAAACTGGCAGTGGGAACCATCAGATAAGAACAGCTGGGGCTGGGACTTCCCTGGCAGTCCAGCGGTTAAGAACCAAGGAATATCTTTCAGACACTGGCGCCGAGCTCTTTACAATACGGGTGATCCTATCAACAACCCATTTTAGGGAATTGCCTGGCGGTCCAGTGGTTAGGACTCAGCGCTTTCACTGCCGAGGGTCCAGGTTCAATCCCTGGTCGGGGATCTAAGATCCCACAAGCCGCACGGTGCAGCCAAAACACATCAATTTTACAGCGGAGGAAACCGAGGCTCACGGAGAGGAAGTGGCTCCCCCAGTCACCAAGCAACAAGTGGTCAGTCCCTACTCCAATTTTGATGAATTAGTGGGAGCCACTGAGGGTGTCTGAACAGGAGCATGATGAGGCCGGGCTGGGGAGGGGAAGACACATGGGGAAGTTTCAGACAGCTCTCAGGGAAATTGGTGGCCGTGGATGGGACAGATGGGCTATGGCCTTCCTGTGTGAACTTGAGTTATCCCTCTTTGAGATGGAACTAAAGAAGCAGAGAGGCACCTGGTGTAGCCTTGGCTCAGGGCATTGCCTTGTGGGTGGCTCAGGAAATA